TGGGCTCAAGCGAGTCTCCTGCCTCAGCCTCCCAAGTAGCTGGGACCACAGGCGCCCGCCACAACGCCCAGCCATTTTTTAGTTGCAGCCGTCATTCTTGTTTGGCGGGCCCGGGCTGGGGATTCGAACCCACCACTTTAGGTGTATGTGGCTGGCGCCTTAGCCACTTGAGCCACAGGCGCTGAGCCATCTTAAAAATTCTTAAAATTTCCTCTCCAATGTTTCTGAGGGATTTCTGCAATTAGAATTAGCACAATTGGTGTCAGTTAGGGGACACAAACAGCACAACAAAGTTAGCAAACTGCTTTGAAAGAATGAGTTAAAGTAACACCCATTCTGCCCTCTTATTAAGTGCTTTTTAAAAATATAACTGGAACTTCAAACACTTGACTTGCATGGTATATGAATTCTATGTCAATGAAGCTGCTACACACAACCAGGATTTCTAATTAACTTAATGCATTCCCTCCCATGCTCTGCATTAAAATGCAGACACAGGCATGTTATGTTGTCCATTCCTCAGCATGAAGGACATAAGGACAGAAGATAAGACCCTGTTCTCAATCTCTGACAGCACAAAATTCTGTAAATTTCCTAGAGCATGAAAACACATATTTTGTAAAGACACAAAATAATATTTAAAAGAAAATTACTCAATTGTCTAATGTCTGGAGAATATGTAATTCCATTATTTTCACTAACCATAATTAAGAGCTCATAGTTTCAGTAACTGATAAATTTTCAGCTATAAAGATCAGTAAGTTTATTGCAAATCATGAGAATGTCACTGAATTGCCCAAATTTTTGTTATGCCTTTATTATACACTGCTCTAAGAATTACTAATATAGTAATTCTCATAGATAGGTTTTCACTGAAGCATGGTATTCAACAGGACTGGGCACATCATATAAAGTTTAGCTACCACTAACATTTATAATTTAAAGTTTAGCTTCCTACTTAGGGGAGAAAGAAAGGCATCATAGTATATACTAAAAATAAGAATAAAATTTTACAAAATGCCTTTGGGTTCCTCATATAACATTGCATTCTGAACAACTTTTAATATCAGGGGATTCAAGGAAAATAGAAAGACGGTAGAAGGGTTAGTAGGCAGGAAAAGACAGCAAATAAATGAAAGTGCTAACACCTTACTGTATAGAACAGCAGTTCTCAACCTGTGGGTCGTGACCCACAGGAACTGTATTAAAGGGCTGGGGCATTAAGAAGGTTGAGAACCACTGGTACAGAACAAAGGCCAGGAAAACAACTAAAAAGTTCCAGGAGAAGATAAAAAAAAAAAAAACATATTCTTGCTTTTAAGCTACTGACATCTCCCAATGCCTCCAAGAGTAAATGAAGCATCTTTCTCTTAATGCTTTTTATGAAAATTTAACAAAATATGTATTCTGTCCCTTTCTCCTTCATGCCACAAAAGCAAATATAAGAACAGCTAAAGGCACTTTTAGAAGATTAAAATTATAAAACCTGCACATCATACATTCAAAACTGACTGAATAAAAAGCACAACTAACTAAATAGGTACACAGAATAATAGAAAAGGAAAGTGCTGATACACTTTGAAAACATAAAGACTTAAGAGTAAATGAAAGCTATTACCTATAAAGTTAAATAAAACAAAACAAAAAACCCTCAGATTGTTTTGTAAGCTGGGTCAGGAGTAGAGCTTAACATATTTTGAAACCACAGGTCAGTAACTCACTGGGGACTCACAGCTACTATGGAACTCCGTGGGTTAGAATATGGAGCTGGCTCATAGATGTTTAGAAAACAGACTTATTTTTTCCCCCATATATGGCACAGTTTTCAAAGTTTTGCCTTATTTTCCTTTATAACATAAAATAGTAATGGTAACTAACTTTGAAAAAAATGCCAAATGGTAAAAAAAAAGCCAGGACTTACCTGAGCTCACATGGGCCAGCTCAACACTACCCTGGAGTTCTATGGTAGCTGTGACATCACAGCATGGTTTATGCTGTGGGGGTCAGGGTGGACCTGGAGTCAGCTGGCACAATTTCACGAACCCTTAAAGAGAAAAGTTAGTTTTAAGTGGTAATGTTCAGAACATCCTTTACCACGGTCAGTAGAAAGATGCAGATGTGGCTGGCTACAATATCTTACATAGCTTTCCTCTACCCAGAGTCTAACTAATTTTACATATTAAAAGAAACACCACCCAGTAATACTTTTCTTTATATTGTGACCATTTGGCTATAGTTTAATCATGAACCAGGCTTGGATATTCACAGCAAATTCTTTCAATACTCAAATATGAGTTGCTTTTAAATAGAGTAACTCCAACACTAGTAAATGTATCTCAAAGTAGGCATACGCACAAGGACCATTTTCAGATACAGTTTGAGCATATCAAACAAATCACCTAAGTTACACATGTCACATAATAAGCAATAACAAGATCTACTATTTCTATTCCTAATATAACACTAAAGAACAATAACCATTTTGAAAAACCAAAAGAGGCTCAGCACCTATGGCTCAAGTGGCTAAGGCGCTAGCCACATACACCTAAGGTGGCAGGTTTGAATCCAGCCTGGGCCCACCAAACAACAATCATGGCTGCAACCAAAATAAAAAAAAAAAAAAAAAAAAAGCCAGGCATTGTGGGGGGGCGCCTATGGTCCCAGCTATTTGGGAGGAAGAGGCAGAAGACTCGCTTGAGCCCAGGAGTTGGAGGTTGCTGTGAGCTGTGATGCCACAGCACTCTACCCAGGGGGACAGCCTGAGGCTCTGTCTCAAAAAAAAAGAAAAGAAAAACCAAAAGAAATGGAAAAAATTGGAAATAAATTCTCAAAGTTAATCTATACTATATCAAGAGTAGCTTCTATCCAATTATCTATCTCACTGTCCATTATTAAAACAATCTCTTTAGGAAAATAAAAGATTCAATGAGATAAGTCAAATAGTCTGATTAAGGCCTTTTAAACAAATAATCTAAAAAGTTAGGACAAACTATGTCAAATATAGTTTATACATTAGAGCTCTTGACTCCTTTACTATTTTGATCAGACTGTTAGCAACCCTGCTGTAGAAATATAAATCCCCAAAGTTACAAAAAACAACAAAAAAGAAAACCTGAACTTACACATTCATAAGAAAGAAGACCCTGCTGAGCAGGAACAATTACTTTGAAAGTATGATGGAAGGATTTAAAGAGATATGTCACAAAGTTATTTTGGGGACAAGTGATCAGAGATGAGGACAAATATTAATGGCTTGAAAAAGATGGAGATGAGTTCAAATTACAAAGGTCACTTAGAATACTACCAAAATATTCAACTGAGAAGAAATTATGTCTCTTAAAAATCTAGGGTTCGAAAAATGTATTTTGAACTCATACATATATAAAACAGTATATGTCAAAACCACACTCACCACTGAAATCAAGTCCAAAAGCATCTCCTACTTCAAAATAAAAATTTTACTTGCTACATTACCAAGTTATCCTTGCTTGTTCATAACCCCATAAGCATCCACATAAAAACTGAGTGGCAGAATCTGAAACCAAATTTTAGAGTTTCGGAATTATACTATCTCAGGTAGGCCTGAAAATACTTAATAATCTAGCCCACCTTCTTTTATAAGTAAGAAAACTATAGAGCGTAAGTGAATATTTTAAAAGGTGATGTTAGAAAAGATAAAAGGAAAAACTTCATGACCTGTATCTTAACTTTGCACTGATTATACTGTATTATACTCCATTTAATTCTTCTGGACAAAAATACTGACAGAATTAAATCAGAAAACCAACAAATTAGAAAAGATGTTAAAAAATAACCTAGTCCACCATGGTAAGGTCTCCAGCTAGCAGCACAAAAGAAGAAAGTCCCTACCACCTTATAATTTGCCACTGCAAGACAAAGTTCACAGCTTCAGCAAAAACTCATAGCCCCACAAGCTCATAAACTAACCAATAAAATACACACACAATGGAATATTATTGGTCTTAAAAAGAAAAAAAAATTCTTACATAGGTCATAACATGCCTAACCTTGAAGACATTATGCTGGTTGCAAAAAGACAAACACCATATGATTCCATTTACACAAGATTTGTAGAAAGTAGAATGGTGGTTGTCAGGAGACAGAAGGTGAAGGAATGGGAAGTTAATGGGTTTCGGTTTTACAAAATGAAGAAGGTTCCAGAGATGGATGATGGTGGTAATAGTTGCATCACAATGATAACATACTTAATGCCATTAACATATACATAAAAATGAGTAAAATATATTTTACTAATGTAATGAGTAATATGTGTATTTAATATGTATATTTTACCTTAACTAAATTGTAAAAAGATACAAGGACAGAAGTATCTGAGGTGCTGCCTCAAATAATATCACCTATATAGTATGCTCCCCTCCCTAAAAATTGAATCTAATCACAAGGAAACCTACAAAGCCAAATTTAAGATCCTTCTGCAAAACTAGACTCTGAAAATGTTGTCAGGCCAGCTATAGCAGCAGACCGCCTGTGATGCTAGCATTCTGGGAGGCCAAGGCTGGTGGACTGCCTGAGCTCACGGGTTTGAGACCAGCCTGGGCTAAGAGCAAAACTCCTACCTCTAAAAAAATAACCCGGCAGGCAGATTTGACAGGCACGTGTAGTCCCAGCTACTTGGGAGGCTGAGCCAAGAGGATCACTTAAGCCCAAGAGTTTGAGGTTGCTGTAAGCTATGACACCACAGCACTCTACTGAGGGTGACTCTATCTCAAAAAAAAAAAAAAGAAAGAAAGAAAGAAAGAAAAATGTTGATGTCAAGAAAAAGTAAAGAAAAAACAAAAAACATTAACAGATCTGCAATGTCATAGATAAGAGACTAATGAGAAAACAAACACAATGTACAATCCTTCACTGAACAGGGCTGGAGCCACAGTAATTACTGAAACTACTGGTAAAACTGAATATGGACTTTTTTTTTTTTCTTTTTGAGACAAGAGTCTCATTATGTCGCCCTCAGTAGGGTGCCCTTGCCTCAACCTTCCAAGTAGCTAAGACTACTCCCGGCTATTTTTTGTTGTTGTTGCAGTTGTCTTTGTTGTATAGCAGGCCTGGCCAGTTCAAACCTGCCTGCCTCAGTGTAGGTGGCTGGCGCCCTAACCATTGAGCAACAGGCACTAAGCCAAATAGCAACTGTAGGTATTCAATTTCCTGGATGAGGTTTGCAGAAGAATGGTGGTAGTCAGGAGATGGAAGGAGTGAGTTAATGGATATACTGTGTGCTTATGAGGGAAAATTGTCCTTGTTCTTAGAAAACATATATTGAGGTATCCAGAGGCAAACTATCATGATGTCTGTAACTCTCAAATGGTTTGGAAAAAGAATCCAAGTAAGGGACAAGTAAGGGACAGGGACACCAAATATGACAAAGTACAAAATGGAAAATCTAGGTCGAAGGCATGTGTTGTTCAATGTTATCATTAGGCTTCTTATTTTTATACAGATTTTTAAATTTCTCATTATAAAAGACTGATGGGGAAAAAAGTGGTTGTCACTGTACAGGACTGGAGGAGGTGCAGAGGAAACTACTGTACTGCTTCATAAACCCTTCATAGTATATATTTGATTTAAAAGATGCATTTGGGTTTGATAATTAAATATGTTCACTTAATATAGTACTTTTCTAAAAATGAAAGTCTTTTCTAAATCAGTGATGTATATTCAAGGTCAGCATCATAGAATCAAGATCACCTGACATATTCCCTTTCTCGGCTTAAAAAGGCACCTTAATGCTTGACAAGCTTGTCACTTCTGAAAGCTAGGAATTATGTCTCAGACATACTAAAGGGAAGCAGGAATACTGCTGAGGTTCTATTTCTGCCATCACTATCACTTGCCTTAATAGACACACTCATTCCTGGAAGCTTTCTTTTTCTACTCCAGATGTCAGGAAGTTCTTTCAAATTCCAAACTAAACTGGCCAGCTCAGTTAACACTACAAAGATAAGGGGTGAAAAGTGTATGTATGTGTTTCCTACATATTAGAATCGTATTACTCCTGAAAACCCTCCCTCAATTCACTTAAAAATCATGACACGTTATTTTATATCCAGTGTTACAAAATCACAAGAAGAAACCTCGAAATTCTTGAAAAATAAGACAAAAACTACCTGAATACTTCCATGGTGCTAACAATAACTCAGTTATGGGCAATGCCTCTATGGCTCAGTGGGCAGGGCGCCAGCCCCATATACCAGGGGTGATGGGTTCAAACCCAGACCCAGCCAAACTGTAACAAAAAAAATAACCAGGTGTTGTGGTGGGAGCCTGTAGTCCCAGATACTCAGGAGGCTGAGGTAAGAGAATCACCTAAGCCCAGGAGCTGGAGATTGCTGTGAGCTGTGACGACATAGCTCTACTGAGGGCAATAAAGTGAGACTCTGTCTCTATAAATAAATAAATAAAAACTCAGTTTTTGTATAAATAAATAAATACAAACTACTTTGAATAGGAAGTAAATCCACTATCAAGAATGTGTATGGAAAAAAAAAAAAAGAATGTGTATGGAGGCCACATACGGCGGCTCACGCCTATAAACCGAGCACTCAGGGATGTTGAGGCTTGTGGATTGCCTCAACAGTTTACCAATTCAAGATCAGCCTGAGCCGAGAGAGATCCCATCTTTAAAAATAGCCAGATGTTATGGCAGGCACCTATAGTCCTAGCTACTTGGGAGGCTGAGGCAAGAGAATCACTTGAGCCCAAGAGTTTGAGGTTGCTGTGAGCTGTGACACCACAGCTCTCTACCAAGGGCGACATAGTAAGACTCTGTCTCACAATAAAAAAAAAAAGAATGTATATGGAGTGAAAAGATTCTGCAGTTTTCACAGTTACACACACATTCCACGTAAGAATAGCATACAAAGTTAACCAAGGACATACAAGGCATTGACAGCAATCTAGCAGCTTACTTTCCTTTTATGGATACAGTGCCAAAGATTTGCTCCAGGAGTCTGTATATACTTTGGATTCTATTAAAGCTTTTAATAGAACATTTTAAGTAAAACC